TAGTGGGCAAATTAACCTCACGATAAGTTCAAAAGTACGACAAAGAAATGAAAAATAATAAGAATAAAAGAAAAGCAGAAAAAACGTGAAGAAAATTAATTAAAAAGGCAGAAAAATCGCAAAAAGCCAAAAGGCAAATAACAAAGTGAAACGGCGAACGATTCCAAGAGGCTTTTCAATTAAATTGATGAGTTTGACTGAGAGAAAGGCGGCGGGAGCCGAGAGCGAATCGAAGGCGAACCGGACAACGATAACATTTATCACAACACGAACAAAAGACACGAAGCACTAGTTACAGTGTTATGTAAATATACGTTTAAACACAAAGGCACGTCCAAAGTCCAGGCCAACACAATGGCCCAACGAGCGTCAAGGAAGTTGCCAGCTTGCAGCCGCTGATAAGCGTTTGACAAACAGCAGCTGGCAAGGAGCTGAAATGGCTGCAACTGACAGGCAAGCAAAGCCCTTCGAGGATCTACCAAGGTGTGTGCTAGACCAAAAAGCCCTAGTCTGGCCTGGCCAGTCAGTCAGGCACTCAGACAGTCAGGCAGCCAAGCAGTCAAGCAAATTAATGCAGCGCATAAATTGCCTTTTCGCTTATCTCGAAAAACTTCCGCACCAAAACTGCATTTATCAGAGTGAGCTAAAGGCACCACCGGCATAGACTGAAGTCGCGAGTTTAATTAGCTACACAATAAATCAGTCAATGCAATGAGCTTTAGGCGACGCTCGTTTACTTGTGTAGCCAAATTCTGTTTTCAGTGCTACAGAAAATAAGCTGTAAGCTATTAGAGAGATAGAGATAGAGATAGAGATAGAAATAGAGATAGAGATAGAGATAGAGATAGAGATAGAGATAGAGATAGAGATAGAGATAGAGATAGAGATAGAGATAGAGATAGAGATAGAGATAGAGATAGAGATAGAGATAGAGATAGAGATAGAGATAGAGATAGAGATAGAGATAGAGATAGAGATAGAGATAGAGATAGAGATAGAGATAGAGATAGAGATAGAGATAGAGATAGAGATAGAGATAGAGATAGAGATAGAGATAGAGATAGAGATAGAGATAGAGATAGAGATAGAGATAGAGATAGAGATAGAGATAGAGATAGAGATAGAGATAGAGATAGAGATAGAGATAGAGATAGAGATAGAGATAGAGATAGAGATAGAGATAGAGATAGAGATAGAGATAGAGATAGAGATAGAGATAGAGATAGAGATAGAGATAGAGATAGAGATAGAGATAGAGATAGAGATAGAGATAGAGATAGAGATAGAGATAGAGATAGAGATAGAGATAGAGATAGAGATAGAGATAGATAGAGATAGAGATAGAGATAGAGATAGAGATAGAGATAGAGATAGAGATAGAGATAGAGATAGAGATAGAGATAGAGATAGAGATAGAGATAGAGATAGAGATAGAGATATAGATAGAGATAGAGATAGAGATAGAGACATATATACCTATATATGGTATACTATATGCATTACTGTTTTCGATAAGTCATTTCATTGTTCTATGATCGATAACAATCGATAACTCCATTTGGCTTTATGTGTTATCAAATACCCCGAAAGATAGATTTCGTATCTACTGTGTAGATTCCTTAGTGAGCCCCCAACACTGTAAGACCCCATTTTAAATAGGTTTCCAGGCTTCAGGGTATTTCGAAGTCTAGCACTCCCGACTATATTGTTCTTGTCCCCATTTAAACTTTGAAACATTTCCATCTAATAGACATTTTTTAAACAAACTTAATTGCTATTATCCGTGACAATCTCTACACTTCAGAGCACTGCTCATTATTTAAGAGTAAAAACTTTTGATGCCAGCATTTTATAATTATAGTTCCAGTGCCAAAAGTTTCTATAGCAGTGTCTAAGTTGATGCTATATTAACAAACAGACAGACACACATATATGTATGAAGTGTATAATACATATACACTTTATAGTTTTCATTAAAAGTTCTGCATGTTTAACAGCACGACAGAGGCGGACGAGCCCTCGTAGAGAGAGTTGCAAAACACCGTAAGTCGTTGCTCGTGCCACGCCCACTGCTAAATACATATACAAATAAAAATAAAAGAAGTAAAATGAAACAAATAAATCACGATGGGGCGTCCAATTGCAGAGCAAAATAGCAAAAAGTCGCTGGCTGCATGTTTTGTTAATTTGTTTTCTCTGCTGTTTTTGTTGCTGATGCTGCTGTTGCTGATATTAGAGTGTTAGTTGGCTTGAATCTTGTTGAGCTTGAGAAAATTAAGCAGAAATGAAAATTGACAAAACTTTCTCATTTGCAACACTTTTCTAAAGCAAAAGACTGCCCGAGAAATTAGCGAGTATTAACAGTATATTAACATTTAAAAATATGTAACATAACAGACATGACTTATGTTAGTTAGAAGGGCAATCCTAGTTTTGTCTTTCGCTTAACATATGTTAATTCACTGTAAACAACTCACGGGGTCACACTGTTCATATAGATAGCAGCAATGAAGTGCTATAGATGGCCTGAGAAGATTTAGGCTAATAAAAGTGCCCAATTTAAATAAGCTTAACATTAGCATAAGCAATGCATAAACATAAGCTTAAAAGGTTCTTCTGCAAATTAACATGGCGTTGACATCATCTGTCTATCATCACCATTAAAGGAAAAATCGCTTTGCTAGTCTAGACTTTAATCGAGGTCAAGTAGTTTTATTTCTAGTTTTTACTCTAGGCTCAAATCCTTACAATTTAAATGCTTAACAGCGCCGTGCCACATCCCCAGGCAGAACTTAACAATGCCATTTAAAATTAATTTTCAATTAACTTGCAGCTGCTACCGCGAAGACACAGGAACACTTCAATAGTAATTTGCGCCGCCCGAAACGGCAGAACGAAGTTAAATGAGTTTGAGTGTGGGACTCTGGCATTGGAGCTGGCAATAAATTGAGTTTTCTGAGGCTTTTGTTGCTGCCAATTAATGCAGTGGCCGCCCGCTGAGAATGATACTAATTTCAATTTGGATCCGAGAGTCTTTCGCTGACAGCCAACGGCACCTGAGCGCGTCTCAATTGAAAACTCAAATGCCAACTAGACTACTCAAGTGCGAGTTAACCCTTGGCAGCCGCAAGAAGTAACTGCCACAGCGCATTTCACTTTCAAATCTAAGTTGCAAACGCGACTGGCCAAACATGCCGGAGTACTTGCGAGGCTGAGCTAAGAAGTTTCGCAGCACGAAATTGAGGCAACCGAGCGTATGCGTAATATTTTTAAAGAAGCGAAAAGGGGAAAGATATTATATATATATATATTTTTTTTAATTTATGCCTAATATCTTTATGCATTCATGGCTTCATCCTTAATAATTTTTGTATATATCATTAACATTAGTTTAGTTAAACGAAATTTTATTACATTTCAATTTTCAATATCTCAAACTTCAAGCTGAAGTGTATACAAGTGAAAAGTTCAGCAATTGCCTCAGACTGCCCTCGCTTCATAAGTAAATGTATATAGATATATCTGTTCTCCATGCTACCATTACTGGCAATTTGCGCTTCTGGCGGTTGTTATCTGACACTTACTTAGTCGAGGCCAAGGATGAAGGGAGCGTCGGGCAACTGGTCTGTGTTTCAATTGAGTGACAAAGTGTATCAGTTGAGGGATTTTTGCAAATCGCTGTCGCTTGAGTGAAATCAGATTAAAGTTTGCCAAAGCAATGGAGCAGTTGCAACACCTGCGCCACTCTGGCCAGCAGACAGCAGACAGCAACCAGCAGCCAGCACACCTGCCTTAACCCCAACTTGTGCGAGGGAGTGGGACAGTTATGTATGTGTAAAAAAAGATAGAAAAACTAAAAAATAAAAACTTTGTCGAGCACACAGCTATCCAGCATCTCATCTGGCAGTAGTCAGGCATAAAGTTTTAATAGTCTTACATTTTGAGTGCTCTAATGATATGCTAAACTGACTAACGAAAGGTCTGCCTTCAAGTTAACCAAACCCTACTGCCTGTCCGTGTTGCCTTACTTTGCAGCCTTTGCTGCGGGCCAAATTGTTGCAATTGCAAAAGTTTATCATCCACCGGGGTTCGGGCTGAATTTGGGAGCCAAACATTAGTTGGGCTAGGCAAACTGCTTTGCTTTGCGGGCACACCTTGGGCACATCTCGAAATATGCTCACATTTCAATTGCTAACTAAAATGCTAAAATGCTAAAAACTCTTTGATCCATCAAAGGGGGAATAGCTTATTTAGGAATCCAATTTTATTTAAATGAAACAAATGTGACTAACTGCAGACTAGATATTACAAATTAAATACATCTGCGAATAGTTACCCTACAAATGTTACTTTGTTGGACAGATTACTAAAGAAGCTAAAAGGGTACTGAATAAAAATGGATTAACTGATAATTGTTCAAGCATGCACAAGGTATTGACGACCATCTTCTGAAAGCATCAAATGGGAATGCGAAGAAAACCGCTTAAATGGGAATTTGAATAGATGGAATCAGTTTAACTTGAAGTGATCTAGCTAAGCTAACTGAGTTGCTCATAAGATGCTGTAGCTCACACATCTGAGTGCAGCATGGATTGCTTTTCAAGCCGGGCCTTTCAAACTGCTCTCAGCATCCCCCACCAAAGGTAAGCCACTCAAAGAACAGTTCCACATAAACTGTTGTAACTCTTAGATTCATCATCATATATTGATGTAGCTCACTCGATGTAACTCAAACACTGTTGCAAATAGTATTTTAAAAGCGTCTGTCTTTTGTAACTTAACTTAATTATCTTAATTATCTTACTTATCATATTCTTTTTAAATATTTTATATAAGTTTATGGATCCGTCTAGTACATAAATTTTCTGTGCACATCTCATCTGCAACATCAGTTAGTTTGGTTCAATTTACTTCACATATATTTAAAAATATATTATTATATATTAAGACCATTCATAGGCCCTCGAAAATAATAAAGTTAAGTTTCTAGTGTCACTCACCTTGCCCAAATTGACGAAACCGTGTTCCTTGGCAACAGCGTCGGCAATGCCGTTATCACCGTTCGGTATATGCACCGCCCAGGTGTGCGTATAGTGACCCCCGTTTCCGCCAACTGCACGCACGCTTCTGGCACTGCCTGCGCCGCTGCCTGCCCCGCTGCCAACTGCAGCCGTTTCATAGTCCAGCACATAGGGCGGCAGCAGTGGCGACTGGGCGCGGCCAGGCTCCATTTTGGCCGCGAAACCGACATTAAGATTACATAAAAACACTAAGATACTAAGTTGCAAAAGCAGACGCAATGAAGTCGACGTCGGCGCTCGCGTCGCTTTTAGCTCACTCGAATGTCTTCTGCGAACGCAATTCGTTTTATTCTTGTTTCTTGTTGTTGTTAAAAAACTAGTGTTGAATAAATTGCAATTGAAATTTAAATTTGTTATATCACATTCATTGATTGTTTGTTGCTGTTGTTGCCGTGGCTGCTGTTGCCATTGCCAAGGTGAAATTGTTGCAGCAACATTAGCCATAGTTGCTTTTGGCTCACAAGTTCTTTTACTTGCAACATGTTGCATTGACTGTGCATTGTTTAAGTTGCCTATTTCTTGACTGTGTTTATTGTTATTCTTGTTGTTGCCACCACTGCTGCTGTCCCTGCTGCTGCTGTTTTTGCTGACGCTATTTGGCTGCCCGCTCCATCGCACGACGTCGTTTTTCATTGTGCGTTCGATTTGTGCGCTCTTTAAGCGTGGCTTTCTATCTGTCTGTGCTAGTGCGTGGCTGTCTGTGTGTAACTGTTGTGACTGTTGCTTCCACAGCTTTACTTTTCCACTTAGCGTTGAGTAGCTGCTGTAATCTCGTTACTGTCGCATTCAAGCTGTAAGTGGAGCAAAATGATTGAAATTTACATTAGCATTTGAATACACAAAAGTTGATAAATACTTACTACTACTAAATATATTTATATATATATAAATATACTGTAAATCAATAATTGAAAGTGGAGTTCGTCTTGTATATTTTTACCGACACGATCTTATCCAATACATTCTACATTTCTGTTAATTTATTTATTTATATACTTCATTTAAAACATTTAGCAATTTTCCATAATTGAGTGTTATATAGCGAGGATTTTCAAGCCAAAGTTTTGCAGCTAATTTAAAAAATTAGAGACAAATGCTTAGCTTAACTGATCGTGCTTAGCTGCAACTGTTACTGTTGCTCTTATAACTCATTCACACAGTCACATCATTTAGCAAAGTCAAGCCAGACAACTTACTCGCCAGCTAACATAGTATGTGGATTATAGCAGGACGCACACATTTGGCCAAGGGACAACAAGGAAAAAGTTAAGTGCCTGCAAATGGCACATTCAATTTGTTAACAAATATGCTCCAACAGCAGCAAAACTTGCCTCATTAGCAGGCAGCTTATGAGGCACAAATGATATGCTGCACGACATTGCGCAAAAGAAGAGCTCAGAGCGTATTTGATGGCAATAGAACTTGCTTCATTTTTTTCCTTTGGCTTTGGCAACCATTTGGCTGGCGGGCCAATCGCATTGATTGTCACTTGAGTCCGGGTCCGGGTCCGGGTCGCAAACAGTTGTTGGCATTGCAAATGAGGCACAGAAATTGGCCGACTGGATTTTGACTAATGCCATTGTCCAAAATATGTCCATGACTGATGATGTGCCCTCTGACGGCTCAGTGCCAACGGGCAAAGCACTGACTGTCATATTTGGCCCGTCTATTGTGATTGAGTGTAGCTGGATTTCAGGATATGCAGTCAGCGCGTAATTAAAGCCATGGCTTAAACGGAAATGCGCAGCACCACCAGCTCCGCCACCATCAAGACCAGCACATCAACCACTCAAACGGATATTGTGGTGTGCGACGTTTGGACATGGTAATCAATAGCCAAGTGGATAGGAAATTGAATTTTCATGCGACAATAGCGGCATTCCAATCAGTGAGCCCTGTCTACTCTGTCTGACAAAATATTTGACTTTTTTTCGGTTGTTCGCTTGAAGTAGCCTTGGCTCAAATTTTATTTAACAAATAAAATTTATTTTTTTTTTTGCATATATATTATTCAAGAGCTAAATACACAGATAATGCTGAAGTATATTACAATGCCTCACCAAATAAGCTAATTTTCCGCCAAAAGAATGCACAATATTAAAAATCTGACAAAAAATTAATTGTAAAGAAAGTAACTTAGATCTAGGCATGGAAAGAGCTTGATTATTTTAGGGATTATAGTTATGGAAAAATAAAAATTGATCTTAGTCTTTAACTGTGTCGATTGGTTTGTTGCAGAATGCGTATCTAGATAGAATCTTTTTTTAACTGGAAGAGTTTTGAGTTATGTTTTTGCATAAGCGTTAGGTCTAAATGAGGGCCAAGGAAGCTACAGTCTGCAATCTTCATACAGACAAAAAAATAACTAAATGAAGCTAAATAATTGTCAAATATAAAAGAATTTTAATCTCAGATTTTTCCCTAATGAATAGATCTTGATTTTGTCTCCAATAAAACGAACAAATAATCGAACTTTTTAGATTTACTCATTGTCCATTACATCTACACATTGTGCACACTTCCATAGATTACTAGATATAATCAGACTCTATATAATTATTTGAGTACATTTATTCCCAAGCACAGAAAATCGGACAACTTGCAAACTGCTGCCTAACTAATCCATTCGCGTCGTAATCAAACGCACCGTAACCTTTTCGTTTTCAATAATATAAATTCGGGCACCACAGCCACTGACAGCATCACGACTGCAGGCAACGACCATTACCTGGGCAATGGCATCAAAGAGTTCTCTGGAAGTCTGATTCGGGTTCCATAGGGACTCGCACATGCCAACCAGTTGCTCGACACAGGTGCCCGAGACAACGAAATCAGGTGCTTCATCGAAACAGCCTAGCAGATCCATATTGCATAGGAAGGGCTCTAGGGTGTACGGATCCATGCCAGCAATAACGGGCTCGATATAGAATGGAGCAAAGCGATGTTCATAGAGCATATGAGAGAGCAGTTCCGCTGCAATTTTCGGCGTCACGACACAGTTCGTGCTGACCTCGAGGGCGTTCTTGCGATTGGCCAAACGATGATAGACCGTTAAGATATCCGTCTGCAGCCCAGTCAGGCCCAAGTACAAACGCGGCGATATGCTAAAGATCTTCTCAAACTCATCGCCAGCTGTATACGATGGCCCACTGAAGCGACGATCCGTGCCAATTGCAACGCAGTCCTTGCCCCGCATGGCAACTACGCAGCCACTGCTAACCATAACATTATCAGACATTTCGATATACAAAGTATATAAATATATATAAAATATTATGCAATGTATGTCGGATCTGTGAAAAGTTTGTGATGAATCGATTCGAGATCTTTAACTAAAGCTCATATATGTTGAAGTCGATTTCATAGGCTCTCCTGATTGAGTGGCCTCATTGCAATTTTATATATGTATATATATTTATAGGCCATAAAATTGTGCAACAAATTTTAATTCCGACCAAGTCCTTGGCAATAAATAGTTTTAAAAAAGAGTTGCTTAAAAAGAGTCATTAAAAACTTGCATGAAAAGTTTTCGGGCGGCCCCACAAATTTCGCTGCGCTCTTATCGGCTGTAATGCACATGACTGCACACACACCCAAGCAAGCACACACACACATGAAACTTACAACGTTGCTCTGCAAGCAGATTGCATACCATGCTCCTTTTGCACAACGACTTCCGCACTGAAGTCAAGCTCTTTTCCCATAGACTTCCTGGCAGGACTTTCACGACTTTTGTCATCCAATGCTCGACGTCTGGTAAACTTTGACTTTGACTGACGGTATTTGTCAGCGGCAGACACAAAGTAATCATTACGTCTGCATCGCATTCGACGAACTAGACACAGCGCACCCTAAGCGTATACTTAATATTAAGAAAATAAGTGCCTGTCAGCATGGGTGGGCGTCCAACGTGGCACCCGTTACCCACCCAAAAGGGACAAAAGACAGCGCATGAGAACGCAGCGAAAAGTGCAAAACGGTGTCAAAGTCAACGACAAAAACATCATCAGCAACAACAGCCACATTTTCATTTCATCGGAGCTGTGCGGCGGGCGTGGCAAGTGCAAGAGCAACTGCAACTGGCGATGACGTCGTCCCATCTGCAACACTCCAAGTGTAAAACTGTTGCAATGTTAACTTGACAACTTGAGACAAATTGAGATGTTGTTTTTTAACACTTCTGGAAGCGAGCGCGAGGCGAGAATTGATGTGCTCCTCTTCGACCGACCGACTGGCTCGAGGCAAGTGCAGAAAGCGCGCACCATCAGCTGCATTTTAAGCAGTCTCAGGTGTAACTAGCAGAGTCTTATATAGGTCAACATGCTTATTGGATAACTTATAGACCGCAAACACTTCAAGCCAATAAAATCAGTTAGAGCTGGCAAAACATCTGAATTGATTTCAAAATTAGCTTAAAAGAAGCTTTTACGAAACTCTGAATCAACTAGTACAAAGAGGCATTTAGTTGGCTCCTAACTAACTCTTAGTTATAGATTTTGAATCTTTTTATGAATATGCAAAAAGCAGTGAATGCCTTGATCTGTGCATACTATTGGTGGACCTAACTGAAACTCAGTTTCTGGGAAATCATTAAGAAAAACTCTATATACTGTTTAAGGAATAACAAAAAGTCATTCATTTGCATGTGTCTCAAAACTGATTAGTATAAACATGCAATAGAGTTAGCAACTATAATAACATTAAATTAAAAAGTAATTAAAACTACTTTGTATAACTATTTTGTGGGCCTGTGTTTGAGTTTTGCTTTTATGCCAAAAAGAAAGAAGAGAACTAACACAAGAAATTAGGTTGTGGTTCAGTTTCCTGTGGTCAGTGTCCTTTGAAGAGCTCAGCGAGTTGAAGGCTCATCAATTTACAATCAGGCGCCACAGTGGAAGAACACCTAAATCGTAGGCAACCAAAGAGCAGAAGAGAAAAAACAAAAAAATTGCAACAAGCCGCAAGCCGAAGTCAAAGAAGATGTGAAAAGTAAGCAACTGCAACAAAAAGAACAAAGCAAAAGTGTAAACGATTCAGCTGCAGTGATGTTGCCTGTAGGCAGCTTTGCGTAAACAGTCTGACACTTGGCTGCTTCGGGCTGCCTTTGTGGTTTGCCGGAGCAGCAGAGAGAAGCAACATGGCAGAGAGAAGCAGCTAGCTATGCGTTTTGAAAGCCGATGCCAAAGCACATTAAGTCTGATGCCTTTGTAGGCGCCGGCAGCGGCAGTTAGCAGCTTAAAAAGAGGCTACAGGAGTCAAAAGCCAGCAGTTGCAATTGCAAAACTGAGCTGCTCAGACGGGGGCGTGGCACTGCCTTACCTCACTGTGTTGTGCTCTGTGTTTTTTGCTAGCCAAGCTTTTAGTGAATGTGTGCTTGTGTCTGTGCCTAAGCGTGCTTCCATTTGCTGCTGTGGCTGCTTTAGTTCTTTAATGATGGTTTCCACAAAGCCGCTCTCTAACACCAGGCTCTGCCTCTTCTTCATCTTCTGCTCTTGGATTTTTTCTCATCTTTTTAAGCCACAATCGCGGCTGCAACTGGAGCACAAAGTCAACAACAAATGGGCCCGGTTAACGCCCGCAGAAAAGCGGCTGTCAGTTGGTTTTCCTTTCTGTATTCCTTTTTTCTCTCAGTGCAGCAGAAAGCATTACGAAGTAGGCGAAGGCGTAGCATAGCTGGCGTTGTGCAGCTGGGACGTATGACAAAAACGAGCCGCATTCGCACAAAGTGCACGCAAAGTGTCAGCGCAGCCACAAAAAAAAAAAAAAATATAAATAAAAGATCTAAGTAAATAAAATACGGAAAAAACGCTAGTTTCTCAGCGCATCCTACAGTGGCGCGTGTGTGTGTGTAAAGCCTAAATGGTAGCTGCCTATGACAACGTAAAGTGCTGCAAATGTATTTCAAATCAAATGCGAATACTCTACTCAGAAAACACTTTAAGATACATTGCTTTCTCTCAGTAAAATAAAAGTTTCATCAGCTACAGAATCATAAGAAATAACAACAAAAACTCATTTTTAGTTTAAGCTTATGGCTGCACAGCAGGAATATTTTTATATATATGTCTAAATGGATAAGTGAACAAAATTATGTATATAATAAATTATATAATTAAATTTATCGAAATAATTGTGAGAATATTAATAATAAAATTATAAAATAAAAATTATAAAATAAAATATATATTATATATAAATTGGATACTTAACGAAATAGTTAAAATAAAAATAAATATTTTCAATTCAATATGAAGAGGAATTCAATTAATCCTTAAAAATACTCCTCAAATCATTTTCTTTTTTTTTTGCATAAGAGACCTAATCAAAGGAGTTTTCCAACTAAAAACTAGATCCGAAAGCGTACTTTGCCATAATTATTAACAATTTTATACTGAAAACAAGAAACAAAATCGCAGAATATCACAAATTACTTTTCAATCTTTAATAATACTTCGCAGATGTCGCTCTTCATTTATGTACCATTTGAGCAACTCAATTTGGCTTTGCAGATGAATTAAATTTATTAACGCTGCATTCTGTGTTAATGAATCCATTTGGCTGCAAAGTGCATTAAGGGAATGCATCGCCTTATGCAAATGGCCAGCAGAATTGTAATTATTTGGTTTGGTTTCGTTTGCATGCTGCAAGCATGCCCGCATCTGCCGTGCAATGAAATGTAATTATTATATATACATACATACACATATCTGTGCAGATGATGCAGATGCAGTGACTCCAATGTCAGTTGCAAGGAAAAGCTAAAAAAGTATAAGAAACCTACAAATGAATTACACAAATTAAACAAACAGAGTATAAGCGAGATTGAAAAGAGAAAGCACTCGCTATAGCGTTATCGCGTGGGATTCATATGCGAAATTAACTGCACAAGTTGACAACAAATGGCGGCGGGACGAATGCCTCCTCGAAGCGATCTTCTCTATTCAGTGGCTTGAATAACGCTTAATGCAAGCATCTTCAGCGCCCACAAAGACCTCAAAGTATGCAATGTCTTTACAAATTTATGACAAAACAAAGGCAGCGCCAAGCAACAACAGCATCTGCCTCAAGTGCTGCCTGCAAAGAGCCTCTCGAGGCCCACAGCTAAACTGAAGTTCAACTCGCTGCTCATAAACAACGCAGCATAATTATTCCCCCACTTTTCTACGTTTCTCCTTTTTTTACAATTTAACGTTAAACAAAAAGTTGGAAAACGCTTCAAGAAGTCGTACAAAATCAAGGAAAACGCAACACGAATACTCTTTCCAAAAGCAAAAGTTTTAAGAATATATCAAAAAATACAAGTAAAGAATACTATTTAAAATTTATAATCAAAATATTCACAATTCATAACAATAAAAATAATAATAATAATATAATAATCATAACAATATAATAATAATAATATAATAAAAACATTTAGCTGAAATAAAATGTGCTTAGCTTACAAAAGTCTTTATGTGAGATAAGAAAAATGAAATAGGAAACCAATGAAATCATAATGAAGTTAGCAAAGAGCTTGATAAAGTTATGTAGACACGATATTCAAAAGGCAGAATCAACTGCTTGGGGCTAGCTCCATGGCAGGATAAGGTAACAGTATTTCCTCTTTCCAATTACCTTGCTGATGCTGATGATAAGGCTGCTAGCTGCGAGCTGGTAGAATGAATGCGATAGCATTTGCTGTTGCTGTTGCTGTTGCTGTTGCTGCTGCAATTGCCATTGCAGTTGCAGGTGAAACATTATGGCACTTTAGTGTTTCAGTGGAGAACTCCACGGCGTTCAGTTCCTGACAGCGGCGCACATCTTTTTGGGAGGCTGCATTAGCGCTGACAATGAAAATTAAAACGTTCTCACTGTCACACAAACACGTGTGTGTGTGTGCATCTAAGAAAAATATGCGCTACTCTGATTTGCAGCTGCGTCTAGTTTTTTTTTGTGGCAATTGGCATATCTCTACATTTTTTTGTTGGGTTTTGCTTGCGCGCCACAGAAATGCAAATCGACAAATCAACAACTTAATATGCGCACTTTTCCTGCCATTGGCAACAGCAGCAGCAGCTGTAGCAGCATCAGCAGCAACAGCAACAGCAGCAGTAACAAAGCAAAAACTAAGTGAGGCAAGTGACTATTTGATGCCCTGTAATAAGTTAAAAACTTAAGAGACATAAGATGAGACAATTAAAACAAAGGAAAATTTTTAATTTTTTATTTTATTTCAAGTATTCAAGCTTAATTTTTAATGTATTTGTAAATAATTATTTAAGATTTTAATATTATTAAAATTATATTTATTTTAACAAATTC